TTAATACCTCGAGTTCAAGTTCGTCAAAGTGTCAGTAACGTCTATACGTTCATCTTGAGATTGTCTAGAACAACGATGGACCATTTATTCATATACCGAAACCAGCGTGCAGATCAAGCCTGGAGGTATTTTTCGTATATGAGACATTTAGGACTTTGTGGGATTTGTAGAACAGCGTGTGGGAAATCAGATTGTCGTGGACCAGCAAAGGGGCCATATGTGCAAGTACCCAGCCTGGAAGTCTTTAACCCAGGACCTCGTCCTGTTCGACGTCAAGAAGCAACCACCAACACCACTAATCGACCATCTAACACGAGCCGAGTGGGACCTACACCAGGGGCGCCGACTACTAAACCAGCGGGTCGACCTCCACCTCAAGCACCGCTCGTCGCCAGTGTCAGCGAAAAACCCGATTTATTTGCGGAAGACATCTCTCGCTACGAGGAGGCGGATCGTGTATTAGTGGCTCACTTGGCAAGCGAAAAGGAGGACAGAGGGTGCGTGAAAACTCCTGCTTCACACACAAAATCCATCATCTTGAAACTGAAGATCAACGGAGTTGATGTGCGTGCTCTAATCAATTGTGCAGCGGAGACGAATCTGATGGCGGATCGACTATCAAAGCAAGCCAAGATTCCACGTCGCCCACTGGTCGCACCAGTTGAAGTTCGACTAGCGATAGACGACAAGGAAGCAAAACCGTTTTTTTTCAAAGAATTCTGCTTTGCCAACGTCGCGTCATCTGATCCAGTTTTGCGATTCGGATCGACCTTTTTCAAACTCGCACCACTAGGAGATAAGTTTGATGTTATTCTGGGAACACCTTTCTTAGAGAAATACCATTTGGACGTGTTGCTGCATGATCGGACTGTGAAACATGTACCTACCAAACTTATCCTTAGAGAACCAAGTGCAAGAATTGAAATGAAGAATAATCTTTCTGCTGCAATTGTGTCGTGTGTGATCCAGAGCTTGAATAAAGTTCAAGAGTCTAGGAATCTGTCGTCTCGTGAGGAGAAAGTTTTGAGGGAATTTGCTGACTTGTTTCCAGAGGAACTACCAGCGGTAGACTCTGATGAGGAGGATGATTTTTTCCCTCCAGAAGGCCAAAATGATAGTTCAAAAGTTTGTCACAAGATTGTATTGACTAATCCCGACGTGATCATCAATGAGAAGCAATACGCATATCCTCAGAAATATTGGGGAGCGTGGAGAAAGCTTGTCGACCAACACTTAGCAGCAGGCCGGATCCGGAAGTCAAAAAGTCAATATGCGTCTCCTTCGATGATTATTCCGAAGAAAGACACTGCAGCACTACCACGCTGGGTTTGTGATTATCGAACATTGAATAAATACACGGTTAAAGACCGGTCACCATTGCCAAACATTGATGAAGCAGTAAGAATCGTAGGGAAAGGGAAAGTCTTTTCAGTGATAGATCAAACTAATTCCTTTTTTCAGACAAAATTGAGGGAAGAAGATGTACCGTTGATGGCGGTAAAAACTCCTTTTGGACTGTACGAATGGTTAGTTATGCCAATGGGTCTAACTAATGGACCAGCTACACATCAGGCACGGGTAGAAGAGGCGTTGGGAGATCTAATTGGAGAAATATGTGTGGTATACATTGATGATGTGGTGGTTTTCTCGGATTCAGTGGAAGAACATGAAAGACATGTGAGAGAGATTCTTAGAAGATTACAAGCCGCAAAGTTGTACTGTTCTCCCTCAAAAAGCAAGCTGTTCCGCCGGAAGATCAACTTCTTAGGACACGAAATCAGTGGAGAAGGGATATGTCCGGATGAACAGAAAGTTGAGAAAGTTAGCAAGTGGAAAACCCCTACATCACAGAAACAACTTCTTCGTTTCCTAGGAACCGTCCAATTCATGAAGAAATTTGTTGACGGATTGGCACATTACGTTGGAACCCTATCCCCCTTGACAAGTACTAAACGCAAGCAGGAACCTTTCAAGTGGGGTGAAGCGGAAGATCAAGCATTCGAGAACATCAAACGGATTATGACGACCCTTCCGGTATTGAAAACTTTAGATTACGAGTCAGATGATCCAATTTGGTTGTTTACCGATGCTAGTGCTCATGGACTAGGTGCCGCTTTGTTCCAAGGAGCAGAGTGGGATAAATCATCGCCGATAGCCTACGAAAGTAGAACAATGACACCAGCTGAGAGGAATTATCCGGTGCACGAACAAGAACTCTTGGCCGTTGTCAACGCACTCCAGAAATGGAAGTTATTACTTTTAGGACTGAAAATCAACGTAATGTCTGACCATCATTCACTCACACATCTATTAACACAACGTAATTTGAGTCGAAGACAGGCAAGATGGCTAGAAACTCTTTCGCAATTTGATCTTGATTTCAAATACCTAAAAGGAGAAGATAATACAGTAGCTGACGCGCTTTCTCGAATTGAGGATGTGGCATCATGTGAAATTAGATCATCCTTTGACAATGAAACCATTGAAGCAATCAAGTCAGGTTATGATTATGATCATTTTTGTCGACGTCTACGCTCAACGCTTCCTCTACGAGAAGGCACCGAAGTCAAAAATGGACTGATTTTTTTAGACAATCGCCTAGTCATTCCAGAGGTCAACGGGTTGCGACGGAAGCTCATCCAACAGGTCCACAACTCGTTAGGTCATCTTGGAACGTTGAAAACATTATTACAGTTGAGAAATGACTTTTTCTGGCCAAGTTTGACGAATGATGTCAAGAAGTTTGTGACCCATTGCGATACATGTCAAAGGACGAAAGCTAGAACCACTCTTACATCTGGACGAATGCAAACAAGTGACGTACCACACATTCCAATGGAGCACATTGCATTAGATTTCATTGGACCGTTTCCGAAGGTCAAAAACTATGACATGGTTCTTTCCGTAACTTGCAGACTGTCTGGCTTTGTCCGAACGATTCCAGCCTGCCAAACTGACACTGCCGAACGAACAGCACAACGAGTATTTGCGGCATGGCTTGCAATCTTTGGGGCGCCGAGAACCATGATAGGGGATCGCGACAAGTTGTGGACGTCAAGTTTTTGGCAGGAACTTCACAAATTATTACGCATCAACGTTCACTTAACCACAGCTTATCATCCTCAAAGCGACGGCCGTAGTGAAAAGTCAAACAAGACAATAGTGCAAGTACTCCGACCATTAGTCTCATCAAAGCACGGTAAGTGGCTTGAATCCCTCCCGTCTGTCGAATTCGCCATTTTTACGGCGGTCAACGTTTCAACTGGGATCTCGCCATTTGAGTTTGTCTACGGTAGGAAACCACGGTTATTCCCGATAGAGTCACTTCCTGCATCAACAAGTCCCGATGTCGAAAAATGGCTTAGTAAACGACAGTCTATGTGGGCAGAGGCACGTGATAGGCTATGGACGAATCGAGTTTCACAAGCAATCCATTACAACAACAGACGACGAGAAGGCGAAACACTAGCAGTGGATGACTGGGTGCTAATCGACAGCAAAGATAGGCAACAGATCGTGGGTGGGCAAGGAAGGCCAACGTCAAAGCTGAGACCAAGGTATGATGGACCGTATCAAGTAATTGAATGCATCAACGATGGTCGAAACTTCAAGCTGAAACTCAACACAGACGATAACTCTCATCCGATCTTTCACATCTCAAAACTCAAGAAATACCGGGCGGATGCGATGTTAGAGGAACAGGGTGGGCCACGCGAGTGACCTAGGTGTCAAAGTAAGTTCCCACCATAATTAGTATGCACCGCCGAAGACTACCCTCCATAAAAATTTCACAACAACTCCTTGGCCACGCCCGTGAGCACCGCACAAAATTTTTGTTTGTTTCAAATTGCAGTTCGTAACGCGGCAAGGTGGAATGAGGGGCAGACAGAAAAATGGACTTCAAGATAGTTGACATACATTCAAGATCAAGATACTTATTCAGATTTACCTCAAGATAATTTCAATTCAATGTTTCCTTTTTTTCTTCTTTCTCTTTCAGTTTTTTTTCTCTTTCTTCTATTTTCAAAAATTAAGAACTTTTTAGGGGCGAGTTATGCCATTTTTTTTCTTTTTTCTGTTTGGATTTTCAAAGATGGAATTTTTTAAGGTGGGGAGGGATGTAAGGATACATACAGCATGGGTTTAGACAGGTGGTTTACGCTTATTCACTACTAACCCTGGCTCCACGTTGGGTTCTCTTCTCTTCACGAACCCCGACTGGAGCTAGGTAAGAGTCATCATTACTCTGTTAGATTTCATTTTCTATATATCATTCTGATTGTTGTTTCTCTTTATGACGAACCCCGACTGGAGCTAGCTAGGAAATTGTAATGCACACGAGTCCTAGATTAGTCTTCAGTGGTTAGATTCCACCGTGAGAAGTCCCCGAGAGTCTAGTGAAGGTTCCATTATATAGAACCTTACACATACCATCATCAAATCAAGAGGGACAAGTGAAGAAGGATGATCATGCAGATTACTTCATCCCCTGCAGTGGTTTCTCTAAATATGTTCTAAGTTGGCCCCTTGTGCTTAATTTGTTTGAACCAGAAGGTTTATGCCAAACGTTATGATCATCTTTGTGTACGGAAGGTATCTCCGGGGTAGGAAGCAGATTGATCCAATTGGTGTTAGTGATCCCGCTCTTGAATGAACAGGTAGCTACTCACCTATGCCACACAAAGCTTTGTCTTCTCCCAAGCCGTGAAGGTGCATAGCTGAGCGTAAACAAGCACCAGTATTGTGCCATCATATGCAGACATGCCAATATCATTTTCTTTGTTGAGCCTTCCATTGTTAGTTTTGAATTCTGGAAGCTGGTCCAAGAATTGGTGGCAACTTATAAGAATTTGATAGCTTCTCATGTGATGATCCTCCTTGCATTGAAGAGAGTGCATTCTGGCTTGTCTCAGAACAGCTTTCTTAGCAGAGTTTGAAAGATCACATTGTACAAGTTATATATCTTGATTTACTACTGAATCTTCTACACAGAACCAAGGATGGTGATTAGTTGATCAACTTAGGATTACTGTGAAAGCTAACCAGATGAATGTTGTACTGGTATTGCAGATAGGATGAATCAATTGTGATGTCTGCATCCTCATGAAGAGATCAGTGGCATATGATTGGACACTGTACAGTCCACTCCAAGTGTTTTATGTAATCATTCAAGTTCTGCAGCAGCGGGCCAGGTTGACAAAAATTGTGATAATCAAGTGAAAGTTGGAATTCACATTCTCAAGTTAGACAGAAGTCATTTAAGAGTTGAATTTTGCTGCATTCAACAGTGGTTCCAAAGTAAAGATCAGCATTTTGTGAAATGAGATTTCATTTTCACAATCATCCACCATACCAATCACATTTCTTTCACTCCTGTCAATTTTTTCTATACATATTCAAACTTCCAAATAGCCAATTCTGTATCATTTTCCTGTTCAGGTGGGCCATCATTCAGATCGTGATGGGCATCAATCCCACTGTTATTTTCAACATGTTCATCTTGACTTTCATCAAATTTATTCTTCCTAGATCCTGAGCAACTGACGATACTACAACCTGCAGGATTGAATGCCACACTACCAATAACATCTGTCAAAAGAACAAAGAAATGTAAGTTCAGGATGGTTCAGGATTATATCATGGAGTAGATAAGTCTCAAGTGAGTCAAATTTGAACTAACCTGAATGCAATGTCATTTTCAATGCTGGCTCAGCATCCAAATTGTCTAATCTATAGACTCTAATTTTTCCATCCTACAGATATAACTAGCTACATCAGTTCCAATTTTCGCTCTCAAAAAGTGGATAATGAAAAACATACTTGAGCGCCTGTGGCCAAATTCAATCCAGAATAGTCAATATCAAAGCTAAGACGTTGGTTTGTATGACCAGGACGATGAAAAGTATGAAAACAAGCAGCAGCGTATCGAAGATCCCAACATTTAATAGAATTACTTCTTCGAGATGCTGTGAATAAGACTCGTTCATTGAGTAAATGAAACTTGACCTACATCCCAAAAATATTGATAAGTTATGGAGTTCAAACTTGTTGGTGGGATGACTTGCTCTCAGATATCTACAATATAAAGTACCTGTGTGATTCCAGTGTGTTCAGCAGAATGAAAGACCATCTGGGGAGAGAGCTCGCTAGCCAAAGTGTCATAAATGCCGATTTGACCAGAAAAAGATCCTGCAGCCAACAGACCAGTACTTGTCGGATCGGCAGCCAAGGTCGAGATGATACCTAACGGTATACTATGAACATTTTGAGCAAAGTTTACCATAAAAATCAAGATGAATAAATTAAATGAAGTTTACCTTTTTGACCATCTCGACTTCGACGGGTAGGTGAGGTTTTATAACGTTCACCCGGACAACCAGGTCTTGAAATATCAAATATTTCAATAGCGCATTCGTGACTTGCATACAAACTGTGGGTACCATTCTGTGTGAATCTCTCGAAAGGTGAACAAATTTTGATGACCATCACGTACCTAGTACCATCTTGGGAAAAGAGCATAGAATGCGGAGCAACCATTCGCTCTCGATGGTCCACGAGAGGATATGACGCCCGAAGCTATATGGATGAATCAACTTCAAATCAGTTAGTGCAGCAAAATTCGACTGCATTACACCTCTCCATCAGAACAACGCCATTTGGTTAGGAGAAGCAATGAATATAAATCTACGAACTAACCCTCCCGTCTGTTGCATCTAGAAGATGTATCGGATGATCTTTGACAGCCGTAGCAAAACAATACCTGGCTGGATCATCCGAACGTGAATGTGGGAACCAGCATGTAGACAATACAGCATCAGCAGCTGTGATCTCCTTGCGTGGTTTCCATTCTTCATGAAGTCTTTCCTCGCTATCCTCGGAGCTCTCTGCCACTGGAGGAGGGCTGAATATGAATTTTTATGAATGGAAAAAAAAGTTAGTTTCATATTTGTAGCTACCTCGCTGATGAATATCTGTCATCATAACTGACCACAAAGAATCAAGCTTACCAAACGAATAGCCGAATGGTTCGATCTTCTGCTTCTGTCAGAATTGCAGAACCGTCTGATGACCTATCCCGAATTTCAAAGTCATTCAGTTATAAATATGACCAGAAGTGAGCTTGTACAACTGACCTAACTTCATGACTCTTAAATATCAGTACATCTTTTACTCACCACTTGGCACATCGTAACAAGTTACGAGATAGAGATGATTTTAATGATTTCGATGTCGCTAGCCTGGTTGGTTTGGTCGAAGGAAAACGAATATGAGTACCATCAGATATCGGATTGATAGGTTCAGCCTGAGGCTCCATGCTCAAACTTCACATTTTGCTTTTGAAAAGGTTGCATCATGATATTGCTGAGGAATGCCCGAAGTAGTCGGTACCGTGACGGTACAGCCCTTCACGCACCAAGAAGTGAAGAGCTGAATGTATGCACTGGTCAAGTGACGTCAAATGTTTACTTTTCCTCACTTTCTATTAAACACCAAAACTTCATCTGTTTTAAAGAAATGTCCATCCGTCTCCTTGCGAAGCCTCTTAGAAACTTGAGCCGATCAAGCATCGTTTTCAACGGTGACTTACGACCATTTTCAATCAACACAACAAATTTAGAAAGTAAATCGACTTCATTTGTCCCTTACGATTGGGAAGACCCTTTGCGACTTGAGAAGAGTTTATTGAACGAAGAAGAAATCGCAATCAAGCAAGTCATTTCTGGTTCTAGAAAACAAATTATCAATATTTGTTTCTGAAATTAGCTTCAAGTGCTCTGATCTAATACCATGTGAACTCGTTCTTCCAGGGATGCTAGTCATGAATATTGTCAAACGAATTTGATGCCGAGGGTACTAGAGGGTCATAGGAATGAGAGTCAGTGTGCCTCGTTTCTTGATACCTTCAAACTAAGCTTGCTCTTCTCTAACCTGAATATCTTGATGTTGCAGCCTTCGACTCAACAATGATGTCTGAAATGGGAAAACTTGGCTTTCTTGGACCTACCATATCAGGTTATGGATGTGCTGGTGTGAGAATGTTTTACCGGCATCTGATGAGATCTGATACTCTCAGTAGACAGATCTCATAAGCCAGCCTGACACATCAACTCGCGAATCGATTTCAGGTGTCTACCGTCGCATACGGTCTACTTGCTCGTGAAGTCGAACGTGTAGATTCAGGTTATAGATCTGCAATGAGCGTGCAGTCGTCTTTAGTTATGCATCCCATCAGTAAGTACCAAAATTTTATCAAACCCGCGCGGCCATTGACGTATGATTGAAATTCATGATCGACTACAGATGAGTTCGGGAGCGAAGAACAGAAACAACGTTATCTACCGGAGTTAGCTAGTGGTAACATGATTGGTTGCTTTGGGCTCACTGAACCTAGTCATGGATCAGATCCTGCTGGAATGTTGACCACAGCCATGGAAGCGACTGACGGTAGCGGGGGCTTTGGTATGTGCCATCAAATTCACCAAATTCCAGCTGCATCAATCACGACTCAATTTGCTCTACTTAGTCTTGAATGGAAGTAAAACCTGGATTACCAACTCGCCGATTGCCGATGTGTTCATTATTTGGGCCAAGTGTAAATGGGATGGCAAGATAAGGGGATTTATATTAGAGAAAGTGAGTGATGACCTCTCAACTTAGCCTATGCTACCCTCTTTTACATGTTCTGGACACGATCGTGTTAGGGTATGCCCGGACTATCGGCCCCTAAAATCCAACATAAGCTGGCACTACGGGCAAGCACCACAGGCTCCATCTTTATGGACTCGGTTCCTGTTCCTTCTGGAAATGTACTTCCAAAAGTAACTGGCTTGAAAGGCCCATTCTCTTGTCTCAACAGTGCAAGGCTTGGTATATCCTTCGGAGTGATTGGAGCCCTGGAAGATTGTGTCAAGAGAGCGAGAGAGTATGCTCTGGACAGAGTGCAATTTAATAGGCCTTTGGCTAGTTTTCAACTTGTTCAGAAAAAGCTCGTTGATGCTAACACCGAGGCAGTTCTTGGACTTTGCGCGTCCATTCAACTGGGTCGATTGAAGGACCAGGGAACATGGTGCCGTAAGTTTATAAAATTTTCATACTCTACTTGATTTGGCTTGACATGCTTTTTTGCGATATCGATAGCCGAAATGGTCAGCTTATTGAAACGGAATAACTGCGGTAAGGCTTTGGAACACGCTCGAATTTTGTTGGATGTCCTGGGTGGAAATGCAGTCTCAGATGAGTATCATATTGGTCGTATCGCTGCTAACCTTCAAGTTGCAAACACATATGAAGGCACTCATGTTGGTCTCATAGCTCGCTCGTCTTGCTTGAACCACGCAAGCTGACATCATCCATCTCTTGATTTTTTTGAACTTAGGATATCCATGCATTGATTCTTGGTAAGGCAATGACTGGCCTCCAAGCTTTTTCGTGATTTTGTTTGTCATTTTTTCATTTCATCCTTTATATTGATATGCGAATGACATGTATAATAACGTTCAGGCAGGTTTTAGCTGTATTTTTTCTTGTGATTCCATTTACAATCTCTTCTCTCTCCATGAAGCAGTACCCGATTCTTAGTTAATGATCTTGCTTAATTGGAAACATGTGCAATACGGTTGCTGTGTCCAGAAATCAACGCAATCAATTCCTGTTCTGACTATCAGCCTTGATGCCCCCTGCTACAAGCATGTGAGGTGACGACGATCCCAGCTTGATCACATTTCCACAGCTTCTTTGCATAAAATTCCTCGAAAATATTTACAAACGTGGTGTGGAAGCAACAAAAACAACTTGCTGGCGGTGGGATTCGAACCCACGCAGTTTGCACTACCAGGAATCCACGCGATCGACACGCTGAAGACTTAAATCTGGCTCCTTAGACCGCTCGGACACGCCAGCTTGACGGGTCGGGGCCAATGTATGGTAAGAATGACATGTGTTGACGATCTCTGTTTGGCTCTTGACAGGACACCTTGGTATTTGCTTGCATTGGCCAATTGATTGTATCACAAGGAAGTTTTGAAGATTTTACTTTTTGTCCATATCATGACAAGACATGATATAGCAATTGATGTTTACCTGAAATTCATAAGCATTCAGGGGCTTTCCATATGTACAATATTTGCTTGGATTATGACTTGCTCATTGGAGCACCTATTACTTTTAGAGTGAAGAAAAATCAACCTGATCTGGTATGTGATTGTTTAAAGTGTTCTGGGAGTTGGACTTATAAGGCTCTTGAAGTGTGCTAAGAGAAGTCTTGTGTTTTATTACACACCAGATGTTTGAGAGGCCCAACCCAACCCATCCTTCTTGAATGATCCTCCTCAAAGATACCAAGATTCTTGGGCCGCAGGCAGTTCTGATCATCCCTTAACACCATTATTGTATCTCATATAACGCTTCTGACCACAAACATCACTTCACCCCTAACCACATCTTTCCTTCCAAACTTAGTTGCCTGCTTAATACTTGTGTCATTCACAATTTTAGACAATGGCACCAATCATCTTGAACATCAAGAACAGATATTAATATTTATTTATATGTTCATGATGATATCTGCCATGAAACAGAGTACCTTTGTAAATCATTGGAATCAAAAATTTGGCCAAGATGAAGCAACCCTTGCAACTCTGTTGATGATACAAGCCCAAGCCCACAGGCAAAGATGCACTCTGCCTAGATATTTCTGGCCTTGTTTTATTTCCAGGCCCAGACTTTTAAAGATGGATCCGTTTGCACTTGGCTAACAATTGTAAGCTCAATTTGCTCTCCAAATTGGCTTAGGCAGGAGACTGTTTTTACACAACCACTTGCAAAATAGGATCAATTTGTGTATTTTAAAACGACTTGTTTTGTCATCAGGTGCGACCCCAGTGGCAGCTACTGGTTACATTGGCAGATTTAGGATCATAAGTAAATGGAGGCCTGTGTCCTATCTATGTCAAGTTGTTATTTTTGGCAGGTGAGTCAAAAATATTGAGTGTTGCTGTGATCCTTGGACTGGCTATTTGAGTTATAAAAAAGGGTAGTGTTGCCACTTATACAAACAAGTGCATCTGTGAAATCCTTGAGTTGGAGTTGGAATATGTACAATGACCAAGCACAGATGAACAGATCAATTAAGAAACATATTGGCCTTTCTTTGTGGTGTCAATATTGTATTGGTTTCATAGATGGCACTTTGGTCCCTTTATCCCCAGCTCCTCTGTAAACAAGAAAGATTGTCATGCATGGAAGTCAATCTATGTGTTGAATTCTCTTGTCATATGCAATGATCAGCAAAGAGTACTGTATGCTCATCACAGTTGGTGTGAAAGTGCAAACAATCAAAGGGTGTTGAATTCCAATTGTATGCATTTTTTTCTCCTTCTCTCCCTCTTAGTACATTCAAACTGATCAGAAGAGCTTTGGGTCTACCAGGAAATGCTCTCTTACTTTTCAGAAGGAGATTTCATCCCGGCGGACTCTGGCTATGCTTTGGATGAACATCTTGTGCCAGTGTTTAAACAACCACAATCTGGTGGCCTTTCATCAGCTGAAACTCACTTCAACCACTCCCTATCCAAAAAAACAAATCACATCCATATAGTGATGTGAGTGTTGCTGTGATCCTTGGACTGGCTATCTGAGTTATAAAAAAGGGTAGTGTTGCCACTTATACAAACAAGTGCATCTGTGAAATCCTTGAGTTGGAGTTGGAATATGTACAATGACCAAGCACAGATGAACAGATCAATTAAGAAACATATTGGCCTTTCTTTGTGGTGTCAATATTGTATTGGTTTCATAGATGGCACTTTGGTCCCTTTATCCCCAGCTCCTCTGTAAACAAGAAAGATTGTCATGCATGGAAGTCAATCTATGTGTTGAATTCTCTTGTCATATGCAATGATCAGCAAAGAGTACTGTATGCTCATCACAGTTGGTGTGAAAGTGCAAACAATCAAAGGGTGTTGAATTCCAATTGTATGCAT